CCACTAGGTGTGGACCATCAAATCTGTCTCTTGAGGGATTAAGGCACAATTCTTCTACGGTTATTCTCTCACTGGACTCCTCTTAAAATATGGCATTTACACAGTACTGATCTTTTCAAATTGCATCCTAGCTAATTTATCCTACCAAATATTTTGTACTTTTTTTATTAAGAACGTAGTCTCATAATTTCTGGCAGTTTGGGTAATAAGTTTACATCTTTTTGTCTGAGGGTGTTTGTTTAAGCAGTAAAATTCCCACTGTTTTTAAGTGTTCCATGATGATTCTTAAAGCTCAATCACTTTGTTACATTTAGGCATAAGCAGTGTATTTTGTGTTGAAGTAAGTATTTAAGAGAAATACCTAGACAATAAGAAAAGAAGTAAGGGCGGGGTGTGTCTTTTTAATGGTACAAGCTACAGGTATTAGCACTGGCAGAGATTTCTCTAAAGAAGGAAAAGGAAAAAAACCTTTCAGTTAGATGGTATTGTTGCAGATAGAAGTTTATTTTTCATCACTACATCTTTTTTTATATCTGCATTCAGTATTTAAAAGTATTTGCATTGGCAAATGGAAGTCAAAAAGCTCTGCTCAGTTCTGGCATGTGTGAATTTTTCATGCTGCTCCCAGGCTGTCCATCTGTAAGCACTGGCCCTGCGTGAACTGCCAGCAAGGTGCAGAGAGCAAATATTGCAAATGTTTTCAAGTCTTTTGAGGATGACCAATAAGTACACTCTTTGTCTGAACAATTTTTATCCTTGAGTATGTTCTTAACCTAATTTTTTTTTTTTATAGTCAAGTCTGGATAGCCTTATTCAACCCCAGATAGCATATTTATTTCATTAAGGAATAGATTATGTTCAATTAAACCAAGAACATATTTCACTAATGTTAAAGCAATGCCAATTTAAAATTGTGCATGCACACAAAAATGAATAATCGTGGTCCCTCTCTGAGTGGGATTTGGAATGATTCAATATAAATACTTTTGGACCCCTGCTGAATTTGGTCAGCTTTGTCTTATTTGCCCTTAAGGGGAGAAAAACGTGTTATTTCGTGTTTGCAATTTGAGTAGCCTGAGAGGTACTGGAATGAAGCCAGGGTCCACCAGATCTGAATCCCTGTAGTTGGGTTTGTTACCTTTTATGCTGAGAGGTCAGAATATATGAAAGTGCCTTTGAAAGTGCTATACATCCTCTACTTGAATTCCAGCAATGGCCCCAAGAGAAGCCCAAGAGCATATATTGATTACGGGTTTTTTTCAAAGGCACTTTTTTAATACCAGGACCAAGAAAAGTGCAGGAACATGGGTAGAGTTTGAGTGGCTCACAGAGCTAAAAGCACTTCTTCCCTTTTGACAGTGCCTTTTCCCCCAGCATGCTATGTAGATTTGTAGGATTTTTTTGCAGTATCTAGCTATCAGGCCTTTTCTTTTCCACTTTATTTCCTATTTCAGGAGAATATAGCAGCCTTCACCCCTGAGGAACCTGCTGGCTGGCAAGCCTCAGAAATTGAAGGGCAGCCTTAAGCGTAGCATTCCCTTCAGATGCAGAAAACAGATTCCCTCTTCCTTTGTTCCCTGTAGCACCATCCCACAGGGCATCCCAATTTCTCTGTGCTGCCCGTGGACAGGCACGTGTCAGGCTCTGGTGTGTGTGAGCAGGTTGTTTCCTACACAAGTATTTGGGGGAGGATGATCTGCATGTGCTGGAAAGATCCTACAGCCAGCATCAGGTATGGATAGGCTTTCAGTAATATATCACCATCCAAATCTCAATGGAAGAGACAGGCCATCTTGCTGTGTTTGCTGAAGATGTCATGGGTGTGGGCCTGGGGAACTGTGGATTTGCTGGGATTTTTTTTTTTTTACACTTGACAACTGAGCAGGACTCACTTGGTCGTTCATTGAAAGAAGCAGAGTGAGAATGAGTGTAAGGAGAGAGAGAACCCGCCTACCACTGTGTACGGAGAAGGGAATTGTGCAGTTTTGAGAAGCGTTAGGATACAGGAGTGAGTTGTGTGGAAGACGAGGGACCAACTGAAAGTAAAGGGACCAAGAATAACAGAATGAGGAAAGGTAGAGGGGGGTTGAAGGGTGTGCTTGTTTAAAGGGAACAGGATTTTGTTTCAAAAGGAGCACTGAAAGTATGGGAAGATAAAGGCAAATATGAGACAGGAAAATTGGTTTAGAGATGCTTGCAACGTATGCCTTGAGCCTGACCAAATGCAGGCTTTGCTGTTTGGAAGCAACTTCTTTTCCAACAATTAACCTGGCATCCACTGATGAGAAGAGGGTGATAGCCCATTCCTTTGAATACTGTAGAATCATAGAGCAGTCCAGGTTGGAAGGGACCTTGAAAGATCACCTGGTCCAACCTTTTGTGGGAAAGGGAGCCTAAATTAAATTATGTAGCACCCTGTCCTAATCGTAGATAAACCTCAGTTTCTTCCTGAAGAGGTGAAAGAGATGTGAGATTTGTCAAACTAAAAGATTGCAGATAAAGTCATCTTTTGTTGTGATGGCCTAATTCTTATGAGTCTGAGAGATGAACAAGTCTCGTACTTCAGCCTGGCTGAGTCACCTGGAGCCAATAAAACACTTTTGCTTTGTTGGTGTTCTGCACAGGAAAGAACAGGAGACCTTGTTTGTCTCCAATTTACTGATTTCTGTATTACAGGAGGCAGCTGTGGGCAATATCTGTCACCTGTCCCAAACGCAGCTTGTGGAGGAGGCTTGCCTTGCAAATGTGTTCAAAATTAGCTGTACTCAACTTCTATCCTAACAAAACACGGATGATGGGAGAGAGGGCTGGCCCTAGCTGGCTATCGCTGTCACTAGACCTTTATTAAAGTAAGGCTGTAGATCTGCTGGTTCAATCCACGCCAGAAGAACATTCACTTTGAGCAAGTTCTACCCCTTTGAATATGTGGAATCATAGAGCAGTCCAGGTTGGAAGGGACCTTGAAAGATCACCTGGTCCAACCTTTTGTGGGAAAGGGAGCCTAAATTAAATTATGTAGCACCCTGTCCTAATCGTAGATAAACCTCAGTTTCTTCCTGAAGAGGTGAAAGAGATGTGAGATTTGTCAAACTAAAAGATTGCAGATAAAGTCATCTTTTGTTGTGATGGCCTAATTCTTATGAGTCTGAGAGATGAACAAGTCTCGTACTTCAGCCTGGCTGAGTCACCTGGAGCCAATAAAACACTTTTGCTTTGTTGGTGTTCTGCACAGGAAAGAACAGGAGACCTTGTTTGTCTCCAATTTACTGATTTCTGTATTACAGGAGGCAGCTGTGGGCAATATCTGTCACCTGTCCCAAACGCAGCTTGTGGAGGAGGCTTGCCTTGCAAATGTGTTCAAAATTAGCTGTACTCAACTTCTATCCTAACAAAACACGGATGATGGGAGAGAGGGCTGGCCCTAGCTGGCTATCGCTGTCACTAGACCTTTATTAAAGTAAGGCTGTAGATCTGCTGGTTCAATCCACGCCAGAAGAACATTCACTTTGAGCAAGTTCTACCAACCTATAGTCAGTTTATAATATTCTCAACAAACGTGGTTTCACTCACGTGTTTGGTAAATCTCCCGATAGCAGTGCACAGGGTATGGTGGCTCTGTGCAGCTGTTCTGTGAAGGAGCAGAACAGATTCGGCCAGTAAAATGTTGCTTAATCCTATTGCATTAAGAACCTCTGTATTTGCTTCGATCGTGCCAAAGAATGTATGTGCATGTATGTCTGCAAGCCCTGGAAATACTTTGACACAATATGGTTTATTTAAAATGCGTATTATGCTCAAAGTAATATAAAGGGCTATAGGAAAAAATCAAACGTGCAGGTGTTGAAATATTTCTGTGATTTCCCCACACATACAGATGCACACACCCCTTTGTATATCAGTGGTCAGATGTACTCGTGCTACACTACTGCTAATACAGCAGTAGCTCTTGATGATATCTACAAGGAGAGAACTATGAGGAGAGGCTGAGGGCTTGTTTAGCTGAGAAAGAAAAGGCTAAGGGGTGATATAAGGCAGCCACTGCAATGAAGAGGGGAATTACAAAGATGATGGAGCCAAACTTTTCCCCATAGTGGCAGATGCTATAATGAGGCAGCTGCTGCAGATTGCTGCTTGGGAGGTTTTTGTTGAACACAAGGAAGACTTTTCTCACTGGAAGGGTAATGCAGCACTGGACTGAGGTGCCCAGAGAGGTGGTATAATCTCCATCACCAGAGGTTTTCAAGACGTAGACAAAGTCAGCATTAGGCTGACCTAGTGTTGGCAGTACACCCACATCGAGCAGGAGGCAGGCTGGATGATCCCCAGAGGCTCCCTCCAAGTAACAAGTCTTTGGTCTGCAATTGTTTGGTGCACAATTGTAGTTCAGAAGACAGATTACATGAAGATTTAGTATTTTTAGATCACAGGTAGATTTTTGAGTTGAGTTTTGCTTCAAAGCAATACCAGAACTGGTATCTGAAGTCACTAGTACATGAAATCTTTTGACATTTTCAATTCTGGCTAGTGAGACTATTGAAATTACAAATTATTGTAAGACTTACCTGCTATATGTAAATTAAAAAGGACAACCTGGGTGCAACTGTGGGTGCAGTAGAAGCTCATAATAAAAGACATTTTGTACTCTTAATCTGACCAAGAATTAAAAATATGGCGTGTAAAGGGGAGGTAGGAACAAATACTGATATCTAAGACTACTCCTTATTAAATGATAATTGTGGGGTTTTAGGTCTCTTGTATAATAGTTGGAATTCATTGAAGTGCACCTGTAATGTGAGTAGTGCTAATTATTGCAATTTGAAGCTATCACATACTGGAATCTAGCCCTGCCTTTCTTCCTGCTCAGAGGAATCCCAATACAGCACTTTCTGTAATCGTTGTCAGCAGGAATCACTGCTGAGTTTGGACTAAGTGACAGTGCATTGATTGATTTATTACTGGCATCAGTTTCCCTGTTTCACTTCTGCACCTTCTCATTTTAGGGCTTCTTCAGTAAACGTCTGAAAGGGTCCATCAAGAGGACAAAGAGTCAGTCAAAGCTGGACAGGAACACAAGTTTCCGTCTCCCATCTCTCCGCAATGCTGATGACAGGTAAGGTTCAGTGCATCTCCCAAAACAATCTCTCCTCATCCAGAGGCACTTCGCAAAATCTACATGCAGCATGCGCATGCACTCACAGAATGACAGCAAGGAAGAGGATTTATTGTTAAACTGGCAGATGGGTGTTTTTTGGGCTGACTCTAGTATGTTAGAAGTTATTTAGTATACAATGTACTGCTGACACAGGACTGAAAACTTTTACTGCTCTTAACAGCTGATGAAAAGTTCAGGTTAAGCATATGGACTCAAATACCTTTTTCTGCATCTGTTTTAAATAAGCTGCAGACTTTAAATTTCATGATACAAAACCATTGGATTGATCAGCTTTAGAGAAACTTGCCTTGATGCATGCAATACTTATCCACAGATCAGTGTAGTGGCCAATATGACAGATTATGCTGGTGCAAGCAGATCAGTTCAGCTAGCACTGGCAAAGCACAGAGAGGTACAGTGCAGTTCTGGCACATTAAGAATCCTTGCTAATGTCAGTCGATTGTATAGTTACTGCAGTGTTACTACAATGAACAGACAGTCTGTTTTTCAGAAAACTGGAAAACTCAGTAACTTCTGACCATCTTAGTGCTCCATTTGGTATATTCTTGCTTGTTTAATTTCTGGCTGGCAATTCAGGCTGGGAACGGATTGTATATGAGGCAAGCAAAAGCTCATACACACAGTTTTTCCTAATTATTTGTAAAATCTCTTGATTGTTTTCATTAAACATTACTCTGTGTTACATTCCACAGTAGCCCAGCAGGAGAGCTAGACTGAGTGAAAAATAGGTTGCCCTGTACTTAAGGCCACGGCAGGCTTCTGTGATTTTACGTTGTTTAGTGCATTTTCCCTTCTCCTTTAGCTGAGTTGAATTCATTAGTTGTATCTGTCATGCTGTGCTGCTTCCATCAATGGTGCTATCTTCTCCATCTGAAAAGCAGCATCATAAAATCATGGAGATAGCAAGGCTTCGGATGTTAGAGCTCTTGTTAACTTCAGGAGTTACAGAAAAGACTGCTGCTTACCAAATATGACTAACGATGTGGATGATGTTGCTCCTGTAGTCATAGTAATGTCCACACATTCTGTTTTGAGTCAAGTTTTATTATAAATCCCTATTTTCAGGAAGTTGCAACATGGCTATAAAAAGCAACTCAGTGAGTGTAAGCATGTTAAATAATGCCACCATGTGATAAAGTACCTGTTATTTTTACCGTTGTTTGTAACCAGCTTTGCTTGAAGTTTCCTTAACTTGGTACTCATGGTGAATGTGGACTGATGATACTTCCTTTTGCAGTGTAAGGGAAATGCTATCATTCTGGGAAAGCAAATAAATTTAGCTATAATTAATCCCTACAACTTTGGCTTAAGACATGATATTATACACAGCAAAGCCACCTTCTCTTTAAAACCGGATCCCCTTCTACTCCCTGCCAGTGTGGGCATGAATTGTCAACTGGACCTGAATGAAACGTGGATTTTCTCTGATTGCTTGCAAAGCATTAAATCCAATGCATGCGGTGATGGCATTAAGCATAGCTGGTCTGTTCTGTCAGTCCTCTCAAGCCTCCTCGGCATGGATTTAAGAAGAAGGATCCAGGAGCAAATGAACTGAGAAGTTCCAGTGGCAGAGTCCATGTAGAGGTTTGGGGGACAGAGCCCTGGCAAGCCAACGATGTGTAGGATGTTAGACAGGGACAAGCCGGTGGTTGCTCTTTACTTTGATACGGTCACCCTCCTCCTTTGGCCTGCTACACTAGCCTTATAGCAATGCATCTTGCGTCTGTAGGGCAGGAGATGGGACAGTGTTTTAGGGGTTTTGTGACTTGATATGGTCGCTTGCTACTAATGGAACGAAGCATTTTTGATAACCAGTCCATGTGATCCTCCTCCTTTCAGAGGTACATGTGCTGAAGTGAACAGAGGGCACGGTTTGGAGGCAAGGGACATCATGTGAGAGTAGCCAAGCTATGTGGAAAGCAAGCTAAGCTGAAGTTTATTTGGAGATAAATCTTTGTACAAATGAGTATTGCTGTTCAAAAGCATGAGCCTCACCTCAAGCTGGTTGAAGCCTTGTGCTGCAGGTGAGGGTCACAAATTGCTGATAAGTTCTTTTTGGAGAGAAAGCATATCAGCACTACTCAACCTTGTAGTTATCTTTTGTTGGAAAGATTCAAGGTTTAATGGAGTTCTCTTTGCATTTGTGGTCTAATCAGACAGTGCACCAATTGAATATACCAACTTTGAAAGTTTATGGTTAGAGATATTACTTTTCTCATGGTATTTTATAAATAAAACCATAAAGGAAATTCAGTTCCACCATAAAGTGAAACTTGCCCATAATTTCTCCCTTCCCTCCCATATGTTTCAGTCTGTATCTAAGGGCACCTGAAAAATGCAATTGGGTGGGTAGAATAGCAGGAAAAACAACTTGGAAGCCATGTGGGAATGAAGCATTGAAGATGAGGAACAGCTTAACATACTGGGAGGAGATGGGCTGGAGGGAAGAGGAGGCTAAAAAGATTGATTTGAGTTTAGAATTATGCTGTTGTTTGGGACTTTTTCCAATGGGACGAATCAGGGACAACTGCTTCTGCGTGAAAGAAGGTAACACATAGCAGCTGACTTAATTCATGAGAGGGAATTGCCATTCTCTCACCTTCTGCTCTCCCTGCTTTCTGTATGAGTCTCGATCTGTTGCAGTAAAAACTTGCCTGTCCTACCCCGGTGAGTCAGCCCTTTCCCATTTTAAGCAGGTGATGCTAAGTGATGTCATGGTGTTTATACAGGTTTTCAGGACCAGGTTGACTGATAGGATCTACCTTTTCTTGCTCTGACAAATACAAGAGCCCTGCCTTCAAAGAAAGTATCATACAGCTTTATAAATCAAAATTCTGCAAGGATTAGAAGAAAATAGAGGCTGCTGTCATGTTGCTTTTCTCATGCTTTTGAGGTGTTTGGGTCCTGTTAAGAAACAGGAGATGTTTATAGATAAATACCTATAAAATTCTGGAGTAAGGAAGATTAGTTATCCTGGTGCACATCAAAATTTGGGATACTATAACACTGCATGCCATTCCAGATGGTGACAGAGGGTGGATGCTGTCTGTTCAGAGTTGATTTAAAATAGAAAGGATTCAGGAATGCTGTAGGAAGGAGTGAAGGAGATAAGTTGCAGATTTTTTCATAATCAGATTTTCTGTTTTAGCAGAAAGCAATTGGCCAACCTACTTTTTCTGGCTTTTAAACTTCATTTCAGTGTGACTGGGTTAGCGGATGGGAAGAGGAGAGAGCTGCGGTGCCCCTCCAGAAACGAGCACCGTGGGTCAGCATCCAGGTGTCCTGTATGAATCCACAGCCTCTCAGTCTGTATCACTTCTGTGACTCCAGATTCAGGTTGTTTGCTGGGCGGTCTGTTTTACTTGAAAACTCATGGTTTGTCTTCACAAGGCACTAACGTGAGAATGCTTAGACTCTGCTCGGTTGTGACCCATGCCAGATGTGAATGAAGCTCTTCAGACATGTGGCCAGTATGGCATCTCACCAGGTTATCAACAGCTCTCACCATGAGGCTATCTGGCACCATGTTACCATATCATGTTTCACAGCTTTTCTAGCCTGTTTCCCACTGCATTCTTTGAGCTCTTCAACCCACACATTTGCGTCTAACGTTTTCTCAGTGTCAGTAATGTATAAAACATGTAAAAAAGCATGAGAAAAGACTTAAGGAAAACATTTGAAAGGAGAGACCAAATTAATATTTTCAGTTTGCAGACAGGAATTTGAGAGTGTTTCCAAGTGGACTGACAGTTCTCGCCTCGGTTTTGTTTATGGTGAGGGAGCGAAGATGGTTGAGACTGGCTGCATATGGTCCCAGTGACCGCAATAAAGCTCTGCGGACAGCTGGGAGGGTTTTGCCCTGTTGGGATTTACTGCCACGTGGGAATCCTCCTGCTTTACTAAAAGTCATTTTATGGCATTATCAGATAGTCGTAGACAAGCACAGGATCTGTTGTGTGCTTGCTCAGAATGGGCTCCGGCAGGTTGCAGGGAAGCGGGTAGCCATGGCTCTGGGGTTCATGGTGAAACGGTATCGCTGCCCAAATGACAGCTTTTTCTACTTTCGGTAAGTTCTCGCTCCTCCCTCCTGGTTTCTTTGCAGTATGAAAATAGCACAGATCGTATAAATAATAGAAGCAAATCTTGCCGGTTTTTTCGTATTCGTTCATTCTAATTTAATGCCGGTTTTCAAAAAAAGGTGAGTGATTTTTATCCGGATTTAGATGTAAGGATAAAAATCTGCGTTACACAATGCTTTGTTAAGGCTTGACTCACTCAGAGCTTGTATTCATTCAGCGTATCTGTTTCTATCTGCATACTGGAGTATGGGGAAAGGGGAGGAGTGGTTTCTTTCTGAAGAAACATCTCACTCCTGTTTTGGTGAATGTATTTCTTTCAGCCAGTTTTTTCAATCCTCATGCAGTTGTTTTGTTTTTCAGTGAAAACTGAACAGATCTCAATGTTAGGCCTATTGTTGCAAACCTTCGCCTTGGTGTGAGACTGCTCTGTCCCACCTGCAAGCTCACTTGACCCCTGTATAAAAACATACTTCTTAATGGCTGATGCTTTTCTGCAAACTCCAGGCTCCTCCACATAGCATTCACCTATAAATCGCTTAGTAGTGAAATGAAACTGCATCGGTTAAGCACCTCTGGTCCAGCAAAGCAAAAGAATTTGAAACATTAATAGCAGAGACCACAGTTACAGTAGAGTGAGGAGGACGCTACCAATGTGAAATTCAGCAGCCTGTTTGGCTGCGCCATATGAGGTGTCTGTTAGACAAGCTGTGATCTGTAGGGAGAGCAGGCAGGCAGGGAAGAGCTTTGCAAATCCAGGATTCAAACGATAAGGCTTTGGGTAGGGCCTTGCAAGAAAAGACCGGAATCTCAGTGGAAGACTAAAGCAATATGCTCAGAAAAAGCCAGCGTTTAATTGTA